CATGCCTGCAGCTGAATGTGCCTGCGAGGAAAACACGTTGCCACACTCACTCATGTATTTCCCCCATCCCTTCCTTTCTCCATGTTTTAAGATGTGCTAGAGTGTCTCATTTTTCTGGGGGAAGTAATAATGCGCCTGTGCTTAAATCTAGGTCTGGATGTGGGTCTGTGTATGGTGCTGCCAACACAGTGGACAGGTGGCCCTTGTAGCAGATGGCCAGGTGCAAAGTGTCCACCTCGGTCAGGCTCTGGCACCCAGACAGTTCATATTACTATTGTTTCACGCATGGTAATAATTGTGGGTGAGCCCTCTCTCCTACACTATAAGCACAGGACGTTTCCGTCATGGTGTTCAGCCTCCATCCTGGACACTGGCTTGCTGTGCTAGGATACGTTTTACTTATGGAGAACGATAAGGCTGTGGAACTTTCTGCAGTCCTGTCTCCATCTCCAACCTGACATTCCAGCTGCATGACTCCTCACCTCAATCTGTCAGCCCCCTATTCTGTCTCTGTATAAATCTTTGTGGGGGCACAATCAATCCTTTTATTGTGAGGAGCAACTTTGCAAAGCTCAGGAGTTAAATATTCATATTCAGGAAAAAGGTTTCTGGATTGAGTGAGAGGCAGAATAATTCCTCTTACAAGTACAATACAGTTGACCCTTGAGCAATGTGGGGGTTAGAGGCACCCCTTCCAGTCAGAAATCCCCATATAACTTTTGACTCCCCAAAACTTACTACTGTTTTGAAAACATTCTGTGTATAAGTGGACCTAAGCAGTTCAAACCCATGTTGTTCAGGGGTGAACTGCATTCATAAATTAGACTCTGACCCAACCAAGATGGCCAACATAGCTTATTGCAAACATTAACTATTTCATTTTGCTTATAACCGAATGTATCCTTTCTTTAATCTCATATATTCATGAATGGAATATAAGGATATCCAAAATTAGTTACTAGACTGATAAAAAATTTAGCAGTGATTGCTTGGTTTATTATGACTGTATGAGCTATCTGCTAAAGACAGTATAAGAACCCTTCAGTTTATTTTAAAAGAAAAAACATACCCACAGAAACTTTCCATCCAGTTTGAAAGGTAAAAAAAGAAGTGCATCAGATCTTAGGAAGTTTCAGGATAGAAATTGCTGTGATTTTAAAGCTCTTATTAATCTAATGTTGCTTTATCTGAATGCTCAGGCCTTATATGACAAGAGTAATCTAGTCGGCCCTTCTATTTATCTTTTTCTCCATTGTTTCATAGCTTTTGTAATGTACAATGAATTTAAATAGAACATAATACATCTCTTCTACAGAAGCAAGATCCAAAATGCTTTAAATTGCATTCCACTGATCCATAACTGGGGTTTACTTGAACCCTGCATTGTTTTACCACAATAGAGGAATGCCCTCTCAGTCATAACTAAATGATTGCTATCCTATCTAATAAAAGAGAAACATGGTAATTAGTGTACGACCGCTACCCTTCCCATTGGCTAATCAGGGCGATATGCAAATTAACTGCCAGTCAAGATAGCGGCCGGCAGCCAGGCAGCTGGAAGCGAACATGAGGCTTGCTTGCTTCAGTGACGCGGACTCCAACGTTCCCCGCCTGCCGGCCTCTGAGCTGCAACTATAAGCAACTATGTTACAAATATAGAAGCTAAACAAAACCCCAGAAACCTGCTTTAGTCGCTGGGCTTCAGCCAGCAGGATCGCAACATTGTTTCAAATACAGAAGGTAAACAAAGGCCAGAAACCTGCTTTCAGCAGCAGAGGCCTAAGAGCTGGAGTCAAGCCTCAGAGCTAAAGCTGGCCCAGAATAAAAAAAGAAAGAAAAACAGGAGCGGTTGGGAGCTTCAGTCACCCGCCAGCCTGAAAACCGCCCTCAGCCCCTCACCCAGACTGGCCAGGCACCCCAGTGGGGACCCCCACCTAGATGGGTGTGTGACCAGCTGCAAACAGCTATCAGCCCCTCACCCAAGCTGGCCAGGCACCCCAGTGGGGACCCCCACCCTGATCTGGGACACCCTTCAGGGCAAACCAGCCGGCCCCCACCCGTGCACCAGGCCTCTATCCTATATAGTAAAAGGGTAATATGCCTCCCAGCACTGGGATCAGCGGAGCCGCAAGGCCTCCCAGCACCGGGATCAGTGTGACAAACCTCCTGATCGCCCTGTGGCTCTGTGTGTGACAGGGGGCGGGGCCACAACCTCCCTATCGGCCCTGCTCTGTTCGTGACAGGGGAAGGCGCCCCAACCCCCTGATCAGCCCTGCTCTGTGCCTGATAGGGGGGAACTCCCCTGATTGCCCCGTGGCTCTGTGTGTGAGAGGCTGCGGTGCCCCAACCCCCAATTGGCCCTGCTCTGTGTGTGACAGGGTGCGGCGCCCCCAACCCCCCCCTCCCCATGGGCCCTGCTCTGTGTGTGACAGGGTAGAGCCATAACCTCCCCATTGGCCCTGCCCTGAGTGTGACAGTGGCAGCGCCCCAACCCCCTGATCGGCCCTGCCCTGTGGGTGATAGAGGGTGACGCCCCAACTGCCCCCCACGGGCCCTGTTCTGTGTGTGATGGGGTAGAGCCATAACCTCCCCTTTGGCCCTGCCCTGAGTGTGACAGGGTGTGGCACCCCAACCCCCTGATCCGCCCTGCTCTGTGTGTTACAGTGGGCGGTGCCCCAACTCCCCTATCGGCCCTACTCTGTGAGTGACAGGGAGGAGCTCCCCAACCCCCTGATCGGCCCTGCTCTGTGCGTGACAGGGTGGAGCTCCCCAACCCTCTGATCGACTCTGCTCTGTGTGTATGGAGCCCAACCCCCCTGATGGGCCCTGCTCTATGAGTGATGGGGGGAGCTCCCCAATCTCCTGATTGGCCCTGCTCTGTGCAAGACAGGGGGTGGCGCCGCAACCTGCCCATCGACCCTGCCTTGAGTGTGACAGGGTGCGGTGCCCCAACCCCCCAATCAGCCCTATCCTGAGCGTGACTGAGGGTGGCAACGCAACCTCTCGATCCGCCCTGCTCTGTGCATGACAGGGGCGACGCCCCAACTCCCCAATCAGCCCTGCTCTGAGCCCGACCAGGGGCTGCACCTAGGGATTGGGCCTGCCCTTTGCCACCCGGGAGCGGGCCTAAGCCAGCAGGTTGTTATCTCCCGAGGGGTCCCAGACTGCGAGAGGGCACAGGCCGGGCTGAGGGACCCCCCCTTCCCCCCGAGTGTACAGATTTTTGTGCACTGGGCCTCTAGTTTTAAATAATAGAAATAAAGAAGACCTGTGTCAGCTGGTTGCTTGCTTATATGTTTTCAGAATATTAAAAGTATTACATTGTGTAATAGGTTGCTTCATGGTATATTTAAGGTGGGATTCCTTTGATCCTTTTACTCCTCCGTTTAGTCTGCACATTTTTGAGATAGCTTGAATTGCTTTATCCATGTCTGTGAGATCACATTGGAAGCTTGTCATCTACACAATCCATTTTGCCTCTACTCAGATAAATCTGTTTGTTCCTAGACTGTTAGAAATGTCAATTAATATCCCTGAGGTATCATGACAGCAGTTTCTTGTATAGGAGGTCAGAACAGTATATTTTTCTGGACTAAGAAATCCATGAACGCTTGAAATATTGTTTACTAGGACACTAAGGCACTTTTATAACTAATATTTACCTGTGGTCAGTTAGCTTAGCAGTCATTCATTCATTCAACACCACCTATGAGTGGTAGAGTTCCAGACCTAGGGAGAGAGTATAGATCAGACCAGGCAGTCCTTCCTCTTAGTGCTCTGGTAGGGATGGGTACAGCCAAGCATCAATCAATGAGTAACTATTAAATGAGATGGTTCAGAAGAGTGCTAAATGGCGTGAAGAAAATAAAATAAGGAAGTGATAAAGATTTATGGAGATTGGTATCTAAGAAGGTCTCATTAGAGATGCATAAATACAAGCCAGCCATCTCAACATCTGAGCGAAAGCATTCAAGGCAAAGGAAATAGGCTATGGACCAAAAAGACAATAAGGTGGGAAATTTCTAGTACCCCTTCTGTTAGCACTCTGATACCTGATTGTATGGCCTACTCACAAGAACCACTGCCTCTCACACATTCTGTACTTAAATTGATCATCGACAGACTAAAATTATGGGCTAAAACCAACAAGATGAGATGTGACTGATGTGAATGTAAAATGGTGCATGTGAGTAACAAACCCCTTTGCTCAGTATATCCATGTGGGTTGGCAGCTGTTCACATGAGAACAGTCTGGGGAGTCTAACTGACCACATGTTGGAGCTTGCTCTTTACTGTTCCTGAAAGGAAAGAAAACAATGTGTAGATATTACCCTTAGTCAGAATTCTGCCCAATTTAAGGCATCATTAGTGCGTCCAAAAATGGAACAGCCTGTCTGGCTGGTGGAGACATCTCCTTTGCTTAACTGTTTAAAAAAAATAAGAAAGAACGAATACTCATCAGGACTTTGGGAGAAAGGAAGTTCTGCAGTGTTTGTAGGCCAGTTTAAGACACTTTTTTGTTTCCTGTGATTCTGAGACTTATTACTCAATTATTTTATTCCAAATAAATGTTCTTCGTTTTGTGATATTTATATACAGTTAGGAAGAAAAAAATATCATTGGTATATAAGGTTGATGGGAAATTGGGTTTATAATGCCATCTTTCTAAATGGTGATCTGAAGTGTAGATTTCTTAGGTTATAATTTTTAAATGAGTTTAGATTAAATTTCTAATGTCTTTGGCCAAGTAGAATAGTAAAAATAAATATATGTATCTTGGCTTTGCCATGTGTCAGCTGTGTAACATGGACAATTTACTTTTCTGTACTACAGTTTCCCCAAAATGAGGACAGTAACGTGTACCTGCCTGAAAAGATTGCCTTTTAAAGGATTAAATTAGTTGCTGTATATAAAGCAGCTAGAACAGTGCCTGGCAATAGTACCTGCTAAGTGTTTGTTCTAATTGTTAGATGTAAATGTATTTTCTGTTCTGCCTTCAGGAATTAATGACCAAATTAATAACTGAGACACCTGACCAGCCAATCCCATTTCTCATTGACCATCTTCAGTCCAAACAAGGAAACCGAGGGCAGCTTCAGCGAACTTTATCTGGATCTGCAGCTCTCTGGGCAGAAAGTGAAATATCAGGTAAATGAAACAATATGTTTTTTTAGTTAATTTTGATACGTGTCATGTAAAACTTTACAAAAAGTCTTTCTGATTATAGTAAGATAAGTCTAGATGGTTACCTAGAGTTTCATGAATTAATCTGTAACTACACCCATATGCTACAATTTGTCATAAAATATTACCGAATTTGAACATAGTGTTAGTATTATGCTTCAAGGTATGAGAATTTGTGTATTAAATTTTATGAAAATAAGAGTCAGATTTTCATGAAGAGATGTGATTCTATATGAATTCAGGCTAATTTTTCTAAGGTTTTTTTCTTTATTTCTTTTTATGAAGAATTTGAATTAAATGTCTGTAGCTCATTTGTAGAAAGGTAAACAAAAGATTTCTCCAAAGTTTCTTTTCTTGTTGTTCAAACTGATGATTATTCTCTATTCCCCCAGCCCAAATTTTATCTGTGTAGGAAGTACAGCCTTAGAAAGGTACCTTTACTCTGGAAATTGGGAACCAGGTTTACCATGAGGCAATACTGTAGTCTCATCTTCCCAGTGAGCCTGGTGAGGTAATTGGGTAGACTTAACTTCCATATCTGCTTGTAAGATAACCCTTTTTCTTCTACACACTGGCCTGTGGGTTGGCATTTAATTTCAAAACCAAATATCCCCACGTCTGTTGCTTCAGGAGCCAGTTCCTTGGCGGATTCCCATGGGAAATCTGACTGCCGGGCCTCCACATGCTTTCCTGCAACGACCCCCTCACTCCTGTCGTCTTCTTTATGCTCTAGTGCTGCCTTGCAAGGATTTTGGTCTCTGGTTGTATTCTCATATGAGTACCCTCTTGAGACCGTATCTCAAAAGCACCCTAAAGAACATAGGGTTTAGGGGATTCCTTTCGGAATGTAGACATCTCTAGTGTCAGTTATCCATAGGGAAGTGATCTGCATCATACAGGAAACTAGGATATGAGCTTTTGGCATTAAAAAGAGCAAATTCCTCTTTCTTCTTGGCCTGACTTTCTTGGGTTTAGGCTCTGAGGAGGTTGGTATATAGGCATGTACTGTGGTTTGCAGGTACAAAGAAGACAGTCATTATGTCAAGCAGAAGAGATGAACATCTGTGAGCCCAGGGAAGCTCGTATGAGCCTATACTTATAAATTATAGTATATGAAGAGGCAGGAATGTATGAAATTGTAGATTTATCAGCTTATGTTTCATATCTCACAGTTCCATGTGTCAGAAGTCTGCTAATGGTTTAACTAGATTCTTTGTTTAATCTCACGTCTGGAAATTAAGATATTGCCTGGGCTACACTCTGATCTGGCATAAGAAAGAACCTGCTTCCAAACTCATTCACGTTATTGGCCAAATTAATTTCCTTGTAGGTAGATGACTGGGGTCCCTGTCTCCTTGCTGGATTTCAGCCCAGGTTGCTCTCAACTCCTCCATGCAACCTGCAGTCCTTTGCCACATGCCTCTGTCACATTATGGCAGCTTACTTCTTTCAAACCTGAAAGGGGATTTGTCTCATTCAGGTTTAATAAGATGGAATCCTATATAACATAATCATAGCATTGACATTCCATCATCTTTGCCATATTCTATTCGTTTGAAGTAAGTCAAAGATCATGTCGACACTGAAGGAGAGGGAACTATATATAAGGTATAACATCAGGGGACAGAGATCATGGGGGTCATCTTAGAATTCTGACTGGCACAAGTGCTTAATGACGCACTGCTTAGAGAGGGTGAAGGAGGGGTGGAGATTACTATAACTCCCAGCTTATTAGCTTGAGTAATGGTATAAATGCTTGTTTAATAAAGTAAGATAGTATCACAGGACTAAATTTATGAATGATAGTAAGTTCAGTTCCCCTTGATAGATTTGATCTTCTTGTGGGGCATGTTAGTAGATAATTCCAGCAGGCAGGAATGAGTCTAAAACTTTTGGGATGGGTCAAGGCAGGAGTCACAGGTGAGGCATTCATATCATATATAAAATCATTAAAACTGTGGGAGTGAAGGAATGGAAGAAGTTGTGGTTAAATTAACAGATTGAGTAGGAGATGGACTGGGAGAAGGCCAGTGTAAGGTCATAGCTGAAACCTAAAATTTTGTCTGTCTGTTGAGAAGTGAGGTTGTTTACTGAGGACAGCTGAAGATCTTTAGAGGCCAGTGTAAGTGAAGGTTCAGTGAAGTGGGAGAGGTACAGAAGGACAGCAGATTGTGCAATCTGAGACTTGAGGTGGAATGATTCCAGATAATGAGAAAGTCCTATTGATGGCCATAGTCTGGGAGTGTCATAAGCATCAGGGAAGTGAAGCTTTCAAAGTTGAGTACAAGGAAGTCTGAGGCTTAATGGGTGGTTTTTTTTAAGGATTAAGAGGTCACCAGGGTTTCATCCAAGTTGTTGAAAGGTCTAGGGACACTGTGCCAATATCATGAGTAGGGTTGCAAGAGATATCAGGGCCAGTACTCTGGTGATAATGAAGCGTGGTGAACAGTGTAGACAGCCAGCATGAATCACAAGTCAGGAGGGACTTTCAGCTTTACATTGCTGGACCCGGAAAACCCAGCCAATGGAGAAGAGAACACTCGCCACTCCAGGAAGCTGCGGAGCAGGGAGTGCTCTTGGGGGAGGAATGAGGTATCTCTTAAGACATGAGAGAGGGGAAGGGGTTAGAACAGAGGAGTGTTTGTTTCCCATGAAATGTATGTTCCAGAAGATGAAGAGGGAAAATTTTGGAGGGCAGAATATGACAAAAGGGAGAAAGGAAGCACAGAATAATCCTTGGATATGAATATAGCTGGAGAAATTTCAGTTCAGGTGACAGTCAATAATGCTAGTTTAAACCTTGCCTGCAATTTTGAATTGTTTCTTTTGGTGTATGTTCTAATTAGTTAGAAAATATCTCAATATTCAAAGTATATGGGTATGATACTTTTTGAAAACATCTCAAGATGTCCTCTTATGGCCTTTAAATGGATCTAGCAATTTAGGACACATCGTATTTTCCAGAAGTTTGACATTTAACATTGTTGAGGACAAACCTGAAAGCAGCCTTATTTTATTCCTTTTAGATATTTTAATTATTCTTTTTAAACACAAATGGGATTTGCTTTCTTTTCATTTTTGATGTTTAAAAGTTTACTGGGAATACATCTAAATGTTTGTCTCTTTAACTTTCCCTATGCTCACTAAATCCTTTCAATCAACAAATCCCGCTCATAAGCCTAGAACATTTTTTTTTCTTTTGTGTACTTAGTTATTGCTTCTATTATATTTGTTTAGGTTTCTTCTTAAGGAAAATCAAGTATGTGTAAATATTGTTCTCTATCCCCCTCATTTCATTACACATGATATTTTCCTTTCTTTATAGAATAACTTTTAGGGAAATTTATTTGTCAATGTGTTCTGTGCCACTGATTCAATTTTCTGCAGTGTCAGTTTTCTCTTTCTGGCTTTGAACAGAAATTTAAATGTTGGTATTGCATTTCAGCTTCCTATCAGTATTTCCTTATCTTCTTCTTTTTTTTTTTTTTTTAAATCTCTGACTGCAGTTATATTTTTTTAACATAGGTTAGTTAGCCTATCTCCTCTCTCATTTCTTTTTGGTTCATAGAATCCATTTTATTTTATTTTTATTGGCAAGTTAGCCACAATGTAAAATTTGAACATTTTCAATAATAAATCTTTTGTAAAACCATCCGTTTCCTCTGTATCTTGAATGCTGTATTCTTGTTTTGTATATTGAATGTTTTTCTTAAAATCATTTATTAATTCAAATTTAAATGAGGAATGTTCTATTTTTAGGCTTGTCAATACGTGAACTCTTCTTTGTCCTCTCACTGTATAGCTTGGAATTTTTTGACTCCTTCTAAAGAATTTTAGAGAGACAGGTGAAAGCAATCATAGCCACTGCTAAAATTTCCAGTATCAGTATAATCCTGTGGGTCTCAGCTAAACTGACTAGTGACTGTATGTCTCATCTCTTTTCAAACAACTAAATTAGAACAATATTATTACTGGATTATTTAAATTAATGTGGACTTGTTTTTCCTTGCCAGTCGTGGAGAATTTAAAAGACCACAAAATCCAGTGTATCTTTTCTCTCTGGTTCCTTTTAGCTTTCCTTTGTATCATGAGCAGCTATATTTTACAAACAGGATTCTTTATTCCTTTACCATATTACATTAGAATAAATTATGGTGCTAGGATGCATGTAGAAAGAAAAATTCTGAGAGATTATGAAACAACATAAGGAGATAACTCTGAGACAGGGGCAAACATTGTGGATGTCTTGAAACCCTCCAACATCTTTCTGATTTGCCTATCTTTTGTCTTAATCCTACCAATAGAAATACCACCTGGGTTCTGGCAGACCACAGGCCAATATTTCAGTTCCTAGTGTGTGAGAATATTTATACCTCTTTTGGTATTTAATGGGATATTGGAGGTAGAAAAATTGAATAACACCTAGTTAAGTACAACCTTAGCATGAGCATTTGAGAAATCCACATGCTGTTTATTTAGTGCTTATAGGTGGGTGGCCAGAGAAAGATGTATGACTTGTTCATAAAGCTGGGGTGAAAACTTCTAAATGTAAATAAGAAGACAGAGGGAAACTCTAAAGAATGCCACCTGGATGAAAGAGGTTGAGGAAGCAATGAATGGGACAGAGACGGGGTAGTCAGGTTAAAGGGATGAGAGGTTGGTAATGCTCTGAGAATAGAAGAAAACATTCTGCAAAGGTAAGTCTGTCTAAAGAGATGGAATGCTTGGTGGAGAAGTGAAGAGGGATGAACTCTTGAAAAGATCACTTACCTTGGGAATTGGTATGACATTGACCACCTTTGAAGGGGAACTATAACTTTAGCAAAGTTGGTTGAATTAATCTTTCTTGCAGAAACAAGTGGGAAAATAAGTGATGCTGAGGAAGAAACTTAGGTGAAGTCAGTTTTCTGTGCCATAGTAAATAATGGATAAACTAACATCAGTAAATATGTAGTTTTTTATTTTCCACAGAATACAATGTTTTCTTCCATGGCAGCATTTAAAGAATGTTATTTTAAGTAATGGTAACCCATGCCTTTCAAGGCCTTTCAAATAATTTCAGTTTAAAATGACCTTAATCATATTACTATACACACTGATTCATATCAAATTGATAACTAAAATGTACAGGGGAAATTAAGCAAGAAATGCTTTTGGATATTTGCATCATTTTTTATTTTACTTTATTATTATTATTATTTTTTTTTTGTATTTTCATTGATTTCAGAGAGGAAGGGAGAGAGAGAAAGAGATAGAAACATCAATGATGAGAATCATTGATTGGCTGCCTCCTGCATGGCTTCCACTTGGGATCAAGCCTGCAACCCGGGCATGTGCCCTGACCAGGAATCGAACCGTGACCTTCCTGGTTCACAAGTTGACACTCAACCACTGAGCCACACCAACTGGACTATTTGCATTATTTTTTATATAAGGTGACCTTGTAGATTTTGCTGAGTATGCCTAATAACTTCATGAATTTAGTTTTTTATGAATCTTGAAATCACAGTAGTGAGCATGTATTTACATATATATGTTTGTTTGTTTATTTGAACAGAACATAAAGGAACAAGGAGGGATTTGAGAAGCTATGATAAGCCTTGGCAATTAAATGCAAAGAAGCCCAAAAAGTCAAAAAGTGACCTTGCTGTCTCCAATATTTCTCCACCGTCACCAGAATCCAAATCATGTAAGGAAGTTTGTTATTCAAAAAATTACTTAATGTATATGTAAGTCTGTGTTATTAATAAAATGAAGAAAAGGTAAGAATTGAAGCCAAATGTTTTATCTGATATTTCTGGCTATTAATCATAATGCATTTTGTATTTATTTCATTATTAACATTGAGCTTTATTTCTATTTAGTAACTTATTCATATTCTTTTTTTAATGTATTTTTTATTGTTGACAGTATTACAGCTGTCCCTATTTCCTTCTCGCTTTGCCCCCCTCCACCCAGCCCCTCCATGTGAAATAGATTTATGCTTTTGGAGTATGCAAATAGAGCGTGCTTTTGGAGCATACTCTTTTAAGGATGTATTTTGCCTAGAATGGGTCCCTTGCCTCTCGTGGCCAGTTGCATCATTGTATTACATTCAAAGCAACACCCACCCTACATTTTAAAAAGCACATAAAAGCAAATTAAATCTATTAGAGGAGGAGCAAATGAGATTTGTATTCAAAACATGTAACAAAATTTTATGAAGTCCTTCACCTATTATTTCCCTGAAGTCCTACTTATTATTTATTACTGAAGCCCCTATATTTATTTCTGTTTCGTTTTCTCTCTCTCTCTCTTTTCCTCCCTCCCTCATTTTCTTCTTCTTTACCCTCCCACCCCCACCCCACCCCACAATGATAAGTCTAGAAGCTTACTAATTTTAAAGGGTCAGTACTGGGTCCCGTCAACTTTAGGGGAGAATGCTAAAAGGCTGCTCATTCTGAAGAGTCTGTGCTCCTAGCAGGATGCTGCTGAGTCACAGCCTGTTGCTGGTGATCTGGCATCTGATGGGTGATATCTCTTTCTGTTCAGATGTCCTACTCCCAAGTTCTGGTTCCACCCAACCATTACCTTTTTAAAACCAAGTTAATAACAAAGTGAGCTTTTATAGTATATGTAGAGATTACATATATGACAATAAAAATACAGGGTCAGAATTATTAATTGGAAAAATGTAGTCAAAATACAGTATATTAAATTGTTCCTGAAGTAACAGAGTATGTTTGAACTTACACTGGGACAGGCTTAAGATGCATATTGTAATGTGTAAAGAAACACTACAAAGCATAAAATGGCATATATTAAAAGTCAGTAGAGGAGTTAAAATGGAATGCGAAAAGAAAAATATAATTTATCCTCCTTAAACAAAGGCAGGAAAAGAGGAACAGAGAAATAAAAGATTGGAAAGATAGAAACCAAATACCAAGATGTTAGGTTGAAGTGAAAACATGTCAATAATTACAATAAGTGTAAAGGTACTGAACATCTCAATTAGAAAGCAAAGATTATCAGGCTAGATTAAAAAAGAAATAGCTATATCCTTTATCATCCTAGACATAAAAATATTATTATCAAATATTAGCAGTTTTATTGGTAAAGTCATTTCAAGGAAACAGTACATTTATTTTTAACCCATAGATAGGAACTTTTGGTGGAGGTCAGAATTTGATTAGTATAATAAATAATTGCTCTAAATTAGCCCTGTATACGGTATACAGTATACAGTAGGCTGCTGTATGAAGTAGCGAGCTCCTATGGGCCAATGGAGGATGCCATCTGCAGGGTACTATGGATGGACTCCTGCTTTGGGGGTGAGCTTTGCCTCAGTGAAGCCATAGACATGTCCTCTCTTAGGTTCTATCACTGCACATGTGTCATCTTATGTTATTGATTCTGTTCTATTGTTTTCCATTTCTCCCGAGAATATTCGTTAAAATGTATTTAAATTGTAGTTCTCAGTTTTAAGATAATTAAGTATAACTAAGTAAGGTTTTTAATCCATCAGAAACCTTTAAGGGATGCCCTCCTCTCGAGGCTGTGTCCTTCCATTATTTATCAAAACATCTTTTGAAATCCCCAGCGTAGTTGATTTGACCATCATCATGCTGTGGCCTGGGTTGTCCTAGATTTGGCTTCCTTGATAAATTGGATATATGTGCATGAAAGTTGCTGAGGAAAGTACTTGAGTGTTGTATCAGTTCTCTGTTGCTTCATACATCCTCCCTAAAACTCAATGGCTTAAAAAACAACAATTTATAATTCCTCATGATTCAGTGGATTGATTAGGCACTTCTTCTGGTCTTGCCATGTCAGTGCAGTCAGTTGGTAGGTCTGTGAAGGCTGGGATGCTTTGGGAGCTGGCCATGTCTGGTGGTTATTCGGAAATATTAATTGGGACTGATTTTAAAAACAAACACTAATCTCTTATTTTGTAAATTAAAAGGAGAGAGAACTCTTGATAGCATATGTTAATTTGCAGGAAAATTAGATAATGCAGTGATTTAGATTAGAGAAATTGTTCAATGAAGGTTAACAAGTGCCAAACAATCTTTTTTTATATATAAGTTTTAAAAAATATATATTTTATTGATTTCAGAGAGAAAGGGAGAGAGAGAGATAGAACCATCAATGATGAGAGAGAAGCACCGATCGGCCACCTCCTGCACGCCCCCACCAGTGTCAAGCCCGCAACCCCTGTATGTGCCCCAAACTGGAACCGAACCCTGGACCCTTCAGTCCACAGGCCAAGGCTCCAGCCAATGAGCCAAACCAGCCAAACAATCCTTTGAAGGATATGGTACAAATATAGTTTTATCTGCTTCCTTTTCTGAGTTTCTCTCCCCTATGCCTGGGCTTGTTCCCAGAGGTCCCCTGGGGTAATAGCAGTGGGCTAGAAGTCTTTTCTAGAATATTTATCACTCTCACTCTGTCCACTCTCCAGTGTTTGATCGCCAGTGTGTTGATGTTAGCTGATATCTCTATCCCAGAAACCCTTAAATAAAAAAAGACACAGGAAGCACTTGCATTCTATTTTTTATATTTTAGATTTATTTAAATTACAGAAGTAATATTTGCTTATTTTGACAATTAAAAAATAGACATTAGATAGTTTTTTTTCTTCAGTCCACTTAAATTCTACTCCCTCAGAAATAGTTTGTATCTTTTCATAGCCTTTGAAATAGGTTGCATTTTTTACATCCTTTTCTTTTTTAATAAAGGCCTTCCCAGACAAAAAAATGGCTATTACCAAAACCAGCGTTGCAAGAAATGTTAAAGAGACTGCTGTCATAGTAATAAGCAATATATAGAGAGGGAAATATAGGTATAAAGAATACATCCTTTTCTTTGTATAAACTAACACAAAATATATATGGGTTGACTTGCTTCCTAAAACTAGCCTTAAACTGTAAACACTAAATAACTTGATTTTATTATTTTAAAATGCATTGTGGACATATCTCCATCCTAGTAATAGACTACGATCTAAGATAAACTTTTTAATAAGTGCAGACTGTATCATAGTGTGAATGTACCTTAATTTATTTATTCCCCTGTTGAAGGACATTAAATGATTTCCAGAATTTTTCCACCACAAACTGCTGAATAAACAAATTTATATCTTTCACTTCCTGATAAAATAAACAATCTTGTAATCCTATCTAACAATAGAGAAACATGGTAATTAACCGTAACTTCGCTACCCTTCCCATTGGCTAATCAGCGAGATATGCAAATTAACTGCCAACCAAGATGGTGGCCGGCAGCCAGGCAGCTGAAATGAACAGGAGTCTTGCTTGCTCCAGTGATGGAGGAAGCCAAGGTTCCCGGCCTGCCGCTGCCGGCCTCTGAGCTGCACTCTAAGAAACAATGTTGCAATTATAGAAGCTAAGCAAACCCCAGAAATCTGCTTTCAGCCAGCCGGGCCTCAGATCTGGAGCAGCAACAGTGTTTCAATTATAGAAGCCTAACAAACTCAGATACCTGCTTTCAGCAGCCGAGGTCTCAGAGCTGGAGCCGAGCCTCAGAGCTAAAGCTGGCTCTCAGCTCCAGTGACAGCCATAGAAGGTAAATAAATCGAAGAATTAAAAAAGAAAAAAAGGAGCAGTTGGGAGCTTCACTCACCCGCCAGCCTGAAAACAGCCCTCAGCCCCTCACCCAGACTGGCCAGGCACCCCAGTGGGGACCCCCACCCTGAAGGGGGTGTGACCAGCTGCAAACAGCCATCATCCCCTCATCCAGGCTGGTCAGGCACCCAAGTGGGACCCCACCCTGATCCGGATCACCCTTCAGGGCAAACCAGCCGGCCCCCACCCATGCACCAGGCCTCTATCCTTTATAGTAAAAGGGTAATATGCAAACTGACCCTAACAGCAGAAGGACTGGGAATGACTGGTCACTATGACACACACTGACCACCAGTGGGCAGACGCTCAATGCAGGAGCTGCCCTCTGGTGGTCAGGGTGCTCTCACATGGGAGGAGCACTGTTCAGCCACAAGCCAGGCTGATGGCTGCCAGTACAGCGATGGTGGTGGGAGCCTCTCCTGCCTCCTCAGCAGCGCTAAGGATGTCCGACTGCAGCTTAGGTTTGCTCCCTGCTGGCAAGTGGACATCCCCCAAGGGCTGCCGGGCTGCCAGAGGGATGTCTGATTGCCAGCTTAGGCCCAATCCCCCGGGGAGCGGGCCTAAGCCAGCAGTTGGTCATCCCCTGAGGGGTCCCAGATTGTGAGAGGGCACAGGCCGGGCTGAGGGACCCCTTCACCCCCAGAGTGCACAAATTTTTGTGCACCGGGCCTCTAGTTTATATTTAAGTATAGACATTTTTATTTATTGTAATTGACCAAACATAAGATTGCTGGGCCAGAGGGTCATTATACTTTTATTATAATCGATATTGCCAGATTACCTTTCAAATAGGTAGCAGAAAAGATATTTCAATAGCCTTTCTTTCCTATAGCCTTACCATATAAATATATAGAATTTATTTATTTTTATTGAAACAAAAATATATGTGGTTTAAAAAGTAAAGTAGTAGGTACTACTTCTCCTCTGTTCTTCTAATGTGGAACCACTTTTAACTCTCTTAGATGTTGCTTTTGGTACACAGGTCTAAATATGAAAACATACAAGGTACTTACATGTTCTTTTTTACTTTTACATTTGAGGCATCATCTTTTGACTTCCTTCTAAGACTTCGTGCTTTATACTCTGCCCCCTTCTCAGCATCCCCCTACAGTCATGCAGATATTTCAAATGTTGGTTGAATATATACTCTGCTTTGGTATTAATAAGACTACATTAATTTGTGTTTTTCACAGTGTAGCCATAAGATGTCTAACTATTAATTTATTAGATGACTTTTAATTAGAGTTAATAATTGTCTTTTTTTCTGTTTGTTTTCTATGTATCCATCATTAATACTTCACCAAATCCTGTGTTAAACTATTAAACACTCTCAATATGATCAAATACATCAAGTGATCCTAATTTCGGTCTTATTTTATATTTTTTACTTTATTTCGTTTAAAAAGTGTTACATCCATTTCCCCTGTAGCTCTCTGTCCTATTGCTCTAGTCTTGGCTTCTGGGTCTTTAGCTGCTTTTTCAGCTGTCTCCCAGGATTGTTCTTTACTGTCACCCTTTTCCTTTTCCTTATGGAGGATCACCTATTGCCTGAGCCCCAAGTCTTTCCACTTTGTATTTTGGTGGAGCATCTCCACTAGGAGCTTTCTGGGGAAAAAAAATGCTTGCAAGATAAATTTTGAGTCTTTTCAAGTATCTTAATTGATCCTTGAGTTGGGTAGAAAATTCTGAGTTGGAAGTACTCTTTACTTGAAATCTTGAAAGACTTTCTCCCCCATCTTCTGAGGAGAACTGTTGCTGTTGAGAAATCTGATGACGATATGATTTGCTATTTTTGTCTCTGAAAGCTTTTAAGATCTTTTCTTTTCTTCTATTGTTGTAAAATTTAGTGATATTCAATGCATTCTTCCAGTCTGAAGAAGAAAGTTTTTGTATTCTTATTACTTTGTCGTTGGTCTTGTTTGATACTTTAATGCTTAAATTGTCTGAAATGATCACTTTTGGGGGGCATCTCTCTCTTCAGGGACTAGGTTTTGTTATTCTCTAGTTTGCTAAATTTGTTCACTACTCATCAATTCATTTTGCATCTTCCAATAAACGATGATGCTATTTCATATCATCATATTAATAGTGGCTTCTCTCCTTGCTTAACTAATTCTTTGTCCAAAAAAATAAAAATAAAAATTCCTTTACTCCAATAATTTTAGTGGGAATTTGGAATTTGAAGGGAAATGAAGGTAATTACAGTCGTCTCTGTTTTACTAGAAGACAGCAAGAATGTCTTAGAAATATTTACTAATTGATGATAAAGAAGTTAGTGAAGTTAGTGATTATTTTTAAGCTGCTAAAACAAACAAAATCTACTTTTATGTTTTCCTTAAATTCTAGAAATTATTAGTTTTAAATCAGTACCTGATTTTTCTTTTTTCTACAAATAGCATCACACTACCCTTTACTTGTTCATTTAAAACATTTCTTAAAACCCAGCTTTATAACTTCCCACTGCTTGCTCACAAGAAAACCATTTCCAAGGCAAACATTTTTATTCTGTATATGATCTTATACAGTCTTTCACATAATGACGAATAGTAAGTTTTTATTACTATGCAGCATGCTTATGAAGTAATCATTTTTTTTAAACATAGTGTCAAGGTCAGTAGATCATCCTAAGTGGAACTGGCGAACTAAACCAGAAAGCCGTGATTTTGATGAATTGAACCACATCCTTCAAGAGAGCAAGAAGCTGGGAAAAGCCCTTGAGAAGCTCTCTCGAAGTAAGTTCAGTTATTTAATCCTAATTGAAATTCCTAACCAATATTAAAGTAGAAGCACTCATTAATATTGCTGGTAACCCATTTCCAACATCCTCGTTAAAATTCTGTGAGAGGTTGAGGAGTTCTAAGGGCCTGGATTGGAGCTGAGATTGATCTTGCGTATTACACAGCCTCATCGGAAGACTGGTTATACAGAGTAGGAGGAGCTATAGCCCCCATGGTTATTTCACCACCTCTCTCTGCAATCTCTCTGTTATCAAGGTCAAGGGTACACCTAAGGGTATCTTATTCATTCTTCTCTTTTGAACCTCTTTGTTTTGTGTCATCTTAATGAACACATATTCCTATTGCTTTCATGGGTTTTTAATGTCTCTGCATTTAAGGATGGTAATGGGGCCAGATTTTTCTTAGAATCCTTTCAGAGCCTAGCATAGTGCTGTGTGAAGTACTTTGTGTAAAAGCAATGATTTATAATCCAAGTGCCTAGGTTAGAGGTTTTGTTCTGCCACCTGTGACTTACTTTTGGATCAAATAATGATAAAGTGAGTTTTCAGTTTATTGCTATACTATATTCATGAAAAGAACCTTATATGAATATGTCAGAGGCTTTTACTAATATATACAAATCTTGATGAGATGCTATAGAAATGTTTGTTTATATCAATTAGCCTATGGTAAGTTGGTTTTATTGTCTGTCACTTTGCTTAAAGTTGCAGAACCTATAGACTGTCAATACAGTCTATTGACATTAGACTGTATATGCTTTTGAAACAAAATGCCTAACATATCTCCACTTGCATTTAGCTCATTGCCATGCTAGATTCTGTCTATCAGAGTAGATCCTACCCCCCTCTTCAAATGTAACCATTTTTTCTGTGGGCTCTGTCTCAGATGGTGGCACCGTCGCTTACCAATTCTCCTAAACTGGAGCCCCCCTATACACGCTTCTCTCTCCCCCTTAACTATTCAAAAATTAACTCTTACCAAATCTTGCTCATTTTCCCTCAAAAATATGTTTTGGGTCTGATTCTCTTCTCCAGTCCCTAGTTCACACAACACAATGACAATGCCCAGATCATTGGTTTATCCATTTAACATGGCCCATTTCGTTCCTGCCCCATGTCAGGAAAAACACGTGCAATTCCTGCCTTTCCTGAGCTGTGTCTGGCTAGCTTGCCATAACCTTATGTTAGGGGAGTCTCATGGCCAAAATCATGTGGCTTCATACAATACAATATTTTCTCATTCAGGGAATAGCTTATGGAGTGAGCCAATGGTGCAGTGAGCCAGTGGTGCATCTCCCTTACAGCATATTGTAGCAACCCACTCACTACATTTTCTCTTGGATATTTTCAGTTCACTGCTGCTCCTGCATTCCTACATACTTTAACAATATTATCTTAAAATATGATGGCTTTTAAGAGTTAATGAATAGCTGTGAATGTTATGCTAGGCACTTGGAGAAATATCCTGGCTACTCATTGTAAATGGTTCCCATTGGAGCTTCATGCTTACGGAAGGAAGCGTTTCTTTAAAATTCTTTCAACTGTTTTAGTTAGTTTAAACTTAGATTAAAAGTGAAATTACAAAAATATGAAAAATACCCTCGGTAATTTGACATTGTCAATAGGGAGCAGAAAGAACTGTATGCAATAGAGTAGATATTTATTTAGATAACTTATTAGGCAGAATCATCAAAATATGTAAGTGTTAAAAAGTATAATAATAGGTATCTCAATAAAATATGTCCAACCAAACACTTGGAACAGTTAGAAGCATAATTTTTTCCCCCAAGGCAAGTTTCCAATTTATCTAGTTTGAATTTTATTGTGGGACCTATTACTTCTTAGTATGTTAATATATCTTCATAGCAACCTTTCCCTTCATCTCAGTTTTTCATTGGCAACATTTCTTGGCTCTGCAAAACAGCATCTGAAAGTTGAGAGTGATGGACAGTGGATAGAGGATCCAAGCAGCTAGGTCATAAGTGATGGGCAAGTTCTGTATGATAAATAGATTTTGACTATTCAAAGATTTTTTGACTTACTTGCTAGTTCTTGGCTACAGTCTAGATAGGTGAATTATTATTATATTTATGAATAATGGATTTATAAACTGAGGTGTAAAAGAAATTTAAAGATAAACTGATAGCTTTCCAAAAATTTAATGAGAAAACTCTTTTTGCAGAACCAAGGGTATTAATGCAAAAAGTTTTTAAAAAAATCAAGTGTGTTTCAAAAATCTCAGACAATTAAATCATGGGTTATATAATTCCAGGTATCTAAATTTTATGGCTTTGGATGAGATAATTTTGTTTTATGTATCTACTCTCTTTTTAAAGTATATTGTCTTTTAAATATTTAGTTTTACACAATATATTCAGTTTTAATATTGAATAATACAAAAGGAACATTTTTGTATTAAATGTAAATATTAATACTTAAATATTTACTTGGTTTTTGTAAACTGGAATAATTATTTTAAATATATTGTAGACTGTGACATAAGCCATTTGGTGTTCTATACATTATCGTGAAATCTGAGTTATTCCAAGTGACCATTTAAAATATTATATATATACTAGAGGCTCGGTGCATGAAATTCGTGCATGGGGCGGGGAGTCCCTCAGCCCAGCCTGCACCCTCTCCAGTCTGGGACCCCTTGGGGGCTGTCTAACTGCCTGTTTAGGCCCCCAACTCCCTGGGATAGGGCCTAAACCGGCAGTTGGACATTCCTCTCGCAATCCGCGACCGCTGGCTTCTAACCATTCACCTGCCTGATCGCCCATAACTTCCCCTCCTGCCAGCCTGATCACTGCTAACTGCCTCTGCCTGCTGGCTTGATCACCCCTAACTTCCCCCCCTGCCGGCCTGGTCACCCCCAACTGCCCCCCTGCTACCCTGGTCGCCCCTTACTGCCCTCCCTGTCGGCCTGGTCACCCCTAACTGCCCCCCCCCCCGCCAGCCTGGTTGCCCCCAACTGCCCCGCTTCCGGCCTGATCACCCCCAACTGCCCCCCTGCCAGCCTGGTCACCCCTAACTTCCTCCACCCCCCCACCAGGCTGGTTGCCCCCAGCTGCCCCCTGGCCGGCCTGGTTGCCCCACGCAGACTACTGTTCGGTTATCCATCTGGTTGTTTTTGTCATGACGGCCCCTGGCTTTTTATATATTAGGATTTAAACCCTAATATTCATAAATGGGTACTTACATTAAGCCTCTATAAATATTTATAATTGTTCAGAAAGCTTTGGGATCTCTTATTGGTCTTACATATCCTCCCCATTGCGAATCCATTATGTCTCAGAGCCCTCCACCACACACACTCAGTGCAGATACTGGCCAGCTGCAATGCTACTCCTTCCTGAAGCCTTTGTTGAATTGTTTGAAGGAGCTAATTAATACAGCATGTCCTTGAGTAATTGTTAAGCTTAGGTCACCCCAAATTCCCAAAGCGGTAGATAGAGATTTTTTTTTTAGTACAGTAACACATACAATTCCTAGTTACCAATAACTTTTACCAAAAAAAGAATTATATGGAATATTGCTATGATGAATGAGTCTCAGATACACCTGTGTTTCTAGTTTCATCTACAAGGGAAAGAATGGTGCCATTTCCTGAGATATAGTAGGGCAATATTTTTCTGCTTTGTTTGTAATTGATGTATTAGGTTATTGGAGTGGGAGAGGCTCTAGGAATGGGTTAAGTACCCCCCACATGGCCACACCAGTTCCAATGCCTGGCCCCAGGGCCTATGTTCAGCTCTAGGCACAGCATCATTCACAAACGGGGGGAAATGATATGCAGGGAAGGTGATGTCATTAGCCTGACACTTTGAGACTGAAATGCACTTAGAAATCCAACAACTAGCTCAGGAAGAAAGTCTGTGCTGTAGATAAAGACTTGTTTGTCATCACCGTATAGAGAAATAACCATGTCAGTGGTATGGGTTAGATAGCTCAGGAAAGAATATCAACTGAAAAGAAAGACAGCTCAGCAAAGAACCCTTGGCATTTCAGGAAAGGACTCCAAAGAACAGGATTCCTGCGGGGGGGAGACAGATCAGGAGATTAGAAAAGAGAGGGAGTTAACAGCGTTTAATGACAGAGCGTTGATGACAGATAAATTAAGGACTAAGCTCTTTACATTGCTGATTTAAAACAATTTTGGAGGAATGGTAAAGACAGAAACAAGATGTACAGTGAGGAATGGTAAGAAGGGTAATTGTGAGGAAGAATCATTTATCCATTGGCTTAAGAAGCTGTCAATCTAAGAGACTGGGACAAATTCCTAGAGCTCTCTAGTTTGTGTCCTCATCTGTAAAAAAGGGAATTAAAATAAATGATCTCCAACCACCATGCTGCCTTAATATTTTATCACTCTAGGAGTCTAAATCAATTCATAAGCAGGAACAAAATTGTAACAACTAAGTTATACTTGATTGTCATTATAACATAAAGACTACATCCCTACAATTATATGCACATTAGCTCTGCATCTAAAAACCACTGTGGTACTTGTCTTGTTTTTGTTGCATCATTTGCATTTTTCAGCAGTTCATGCTGTCATAGTTTACTTGAATTCCTAATTTGTTTTCATGAGTAGGAAGGTTGTATCACACTATTTTGAAGCACTAATAAAAAGAAAAAATAGAATGGAAAATACACTAGTTTTACAAATAGAACTTTTGTCTTTGACATTAGGTTATTAAAGATTGTTTCTAAAACATTTTTATAAATCTCTTTTGAATCCCAGGTATTGCAATTTCAGATGAACTTGATAAGGTAAGTTGAACTATACATCTAATGAAAAGAACATATAGAATTTAGGTTTTAATCCACTGAAACATAAAATGTTCAAATATAATTTATGGTGCTAATATTTTAAAAAAATTTTCAAAGTTATATGCTTAGATTTTAAAATGAAAGTTATTAAATGAAATATATAATATCACCTATTCTTTTGAGTTAAGGATTTTCAAATTTGGCTAGAGAAAACTGAACCACTGTAAGCATTAACAACTATATTAAAAAATGAAAACTAATAATATTATGTAAACTATTTGGATTTTACTTATATTGATTATGATGGTATGGAAGAAACTTGTTATTTACTATAGCTGCTCTTTGTAAACCTTACTAAGTATTTTTCAAAATATATTTTTATTGATTACAGAAAGGAAGGGAGAGGAGGAGAGAGATAGAAACATCAATGATGAGAGTCATTGATCGGCTGCCTCCTGAATGCCCCCTCCTGGGGATCGATCCGCAACCCAGGCATTTGCCTTTGACTGGAATCGAACCAGGAACCTTTCAGTCTGCAGGCCGACGCTCTATCCACTGAGCCAAACCAGCTAGGGCTTACTAAGTACTTTTTAAAAGTAATTTTAAGATGCCAAGAAAATATGATGATGCCTTGCACTAGTGATAGTTGTGAAGGTGGTGGGAAGTGATATGATTAGGAATATATTTTGGCAGTAGTATCTTTGGAGCGTGCTATGGATTGGATCTGAGGACTAGTAGAAGAGATCAGTCAGTGATGATTCTTATGTTTGGAGGATGAGAAATTAAATGATCTGTGGTGCCATTTACCAAACTGGGGAGAGAGCAAATTTGACAGGTTGGGATAGCATCAACAGTTCTCTGTCCTAGCCCTAGTCAGTTTGCTCAGTGGTTAGAGCATCGGCCCGTGGACTGATTCCAGTCAAGGGCATGTGCCTGGGTTAACAGCTGGATTCCCGTCCCTGTCAGGGCTCATGCGGGAGGCAACCAGTCGCTGTGTCTTTCTCACATCGATGTTTTTGTCTCTGTGTTTCTCCCCCTCCCTTCCACTCTCTTTAAAAATAATGGAAATATATCCTCAGGTGAGGATTAACAACAACAACAACAACAAAGAGTTCGCTTTTGTAATGTTTATTTTGAGTTGTCTGTTAAATATTGCTTATATGAGTTGTTGCTCATAAGAAAGTTTTGATTTAGTGTTACACATTTAGGAGTCAGTCATTGGGCTAGACGTTCTTATTTTTTTGGTCTCAGGATCCCAAAAAACTTGGCACTGTGTAGATTATACCTATTAATGTTTTACCATGTTAGAACTTAAAACTGATAAAAAAGTTTACATGCATTTATTTAAAAAAATAGCAGTGACATAACCATTACAATAACAAAAATGTTTTTGCCTTATCCAGTTTGGCTCAGTGGATAGAGCCTCGGCCTGCGGACTGAAGGGTCTCAGGTTCGATTCTGGTCAAGGGCATGTGCCTTGGTTGTGGGCACTTCCCCAGTGGGGAGTTAGCAGGAGGCAGCTGATCGATGTTTTTCTCTCATCGATGTTTCTAACTCTCTATCCCTCTCCTTCCTCTCTGTAAAAAAAATCAATAAAATATATTTTAAAAAATGTTTTTATGAAAAAGTACTTTGTTTTCCAAAATAAGGTACTTATGAGAAAGTTACATTTACAGTTTAAAAGAAATCTCTTTAATGCCTGGCTTAATTAGACACTGCTGAATTTTCATATCCACTTCTGCATTCAATCTGTTGTGATATGTGGCTTTGGCTGAAGAAAAAGTTTTAACATGAGGTATGTAGTTGGAAAAGGGAGAAGCACTTAGAACTAGCCATCAATATTTGGTGAACATTGATACAACTATCTCTCTAAACAGAAAATGTATTTAATTTGGCCTCATGCTATATTTATAGCTAGAAAATGGTAGAAATTATTGTACAAAAATGGGATCATACAATCATGCCATTTTAAAATAATAAACTATAATGTAACAATTACTTTATTTACATAAAAATAATAGTTAGCATTTTTTCTATTCCAAATAGGAATATATCTTTTAAGTTTTAATAAAAGTACATATATGATAAAATAAATAAATAAAATTGACAAATATATTATTAAATATGATTTCCCTTTAATAAGCCACCTAATAATAATAAAATTACTTTAATTTCTATCTGTATTAACTCCATGCAAAACCAGATCATAACTATGTACCGTAGCTCATGGAGTAAGTGGCAGATGGGGTATCTGGCTTTGTCCTGTTTTTCTAGTCTTTCTCTGCAAAGCCATCATTGTCTTTGCCCAAACTGGTCTCCTTATACCCTGACATTCCTTCCAGTTTGCAGAAATGTAATAATCCATGCTTGTGAAGATATACTCTAGGTTCATTTTAAGTACAAAGACATAATCATTGCCATTTCTAGGTTCATTTGTTCCTTCTAATATATTTTGCAAAGCTCTGGATGCCGGAGCCATAAATTAGCTGTGTGATTCTACTTTCCTTCCCTTTCTTCTGGGCCCTGGCTTGCAGCTGGGTTAGTGTCTACACCATTTTTGGTGAGATAAAGAGCACAGCAATTGTTCTTTGAACTGAAAGTGGATTTCACCTTCACCGGGTAACATTGTAGGTGCCCTGGGGTCTCCAAGGATTAGCCCAGGGTACATCTTCCTCCTTCTCTCCTCTCTTACAGTAGTAGCAAGAGTTTTCATTTAAATAAGTTTCACATATTGCTGATTTTAATTGTCTTAATATTGTATTTTAAAGACTTTATAGAAATTGCTGGAATTTATTGCACATTTATTATTTTTCATTTTCATTGAGGAAGCCACCAGTTGTCACACTAAAAGAGCTTTTATTGAAAAATATAGTTGTGTCAGTACAAAAAATTGTTCCCACTCACACCTGATTTTCAAGAGGGTCAGATAATACAAAAGAAACACAGCCTCCATTCTTTGCCTTCCTGGAACCAGTCTTGAAGAGGGACACTGCCTACCCCATGGTGCCCTCTGGTGACCACAAAACTCAGTTTTGCATTTTGCTCGGTAAGAAAAAGTGTATCTCAGGCAGGTACTAAAAGCAGTCAAACAGAAAAAGGGGACATCTGTAATACTTTCAACAATAAAGATAAGGTTTTAAAAATCAGTCAAACAGAAAGGTTTACAATTTGTGTAGAGCTGACACCTTGTCCTTACTATAATAAAAAAAATATATATTCTTCCTTTTAATCTTCTATTAACATTTTGGGGGTTCACTAAAGATAATATTCTTCTTAACCTTTATAAAATACTGGCCTCTAGTTAGATCATAATTTACTGTCACTCTAGTTAGATGATAATTTCATTGAAATTATTTATTCTGTGATCTTTAAAAGTAGTTTATGAATTCTATAAAAGAGTTATTACTAGTAATTCTATTTAAAATGAAATGATAAAATAAAACAAGACTGACACTATTTTAAAGCCTTTAAAAAAACTGTGAATTCTAGAAATTTCTTTCTGTTTAGTCACTATATTGGTTTTCTATACTGCTGTAACAAAGTAAAACAAGATGATTTATTATCTTATAGTTTTATAGTTTAGAAGTTCTACATGAGTGTTCCTGGCTGTCATAAAACTGTATTCCTTCCTGAAGTTCTTTGTGACATTCAGGAATGAGCACAAATCACATAAAATAAGTCATCTAGTAGAGATGGAAAGAACTGAAATTTTAAGTTAATTCAGAAAGGAAAAAGAACATTTTGATTTGAGGAAGCTGTTGAAACTCTAGATAAAATTATTTCCTTGTCTTACTGTAAAGAGTAAATAAGCTAAGGCAGCACATTCTTTTCTCCTCTTCAGGAAACAGTGGCATGTAATTCTTCTCTTCTAAGACCCCGTGTAATAGGAGAATGGATTGGTCGAGAAGAGAATGATGCTGACCCATTGGCAGCCGAAATGCTACAGCCCCCAATTCCAAGAAGTAAAAATGAACAATGGGAAAGTGAAGATAGCAGCTCTAGCCCCACAGGAAGGTAAGATGAGATGGTGTCTAAGATTCTGAAAATGATTAATCATTACAAGGTGAAGGGAAAATCAAGTGCATGATTTTGTTGAAGTAAGTCTTAGCAAATTTATATAGAAAATTATGTTGGACTCCACACAAGATAAAAATTAATTTCTCTGTTTTAAAATTAGAGTGCTACTAGAATTGCTTTTAGATTTTGGTTTTGATTTTTTTTTCTTTACAGCTAAAAAAAATTACCATCTCTTTGTATCTAATACCAAATAGAGAAATAATTTCAAGGATATAAACTGTAGTTGAGATTTTCTATAATATTGAACAGGGAATAGCTGACTGTTAAGAATTGAAAGAACATATATCTTTATGAATAAGTGTTTTCAAAATTTTCAGGTAGATACCCAGAAGAGGGATTGCTGAGTTATATGGTAGCTCTGTTCCTAATTGTTGAATGAACCTCCATACTGTTTGCCATAGTGGCTGTACCAATTTACATCCCCACTAGCAGTGTGTGAGGGTTCCTTTTTCTCCATATCTTTTCCAACACTTGTTATTTCTTGATTTATTCACAATGGCCATTATAACAGGTGTGAACTGGTATCTCATTGTGGTTTTGACTTGCATTTGCTGTATAGCTAGTGAAGTTGAGCATCTTTTCATATATTTGTATGTCTTCTTGGGAAAAGTGTTGATTCATGTCCTCTGCCCTTCTTATAATTGGATTGTTGGTTTTGTTGTTGAGTTGTATGAGTTCTTTATTGAAGAACCTTATGGAAGTAAATTTGCAAGTATCTCCTCCCTTTCAATTGGTTGCCTTTTTGTTTTGCTGAAGGCTTCTTTGGCTGTGCAAAATCTTTTTAGTTTGATATATTTAGTCCCATTCATTTATTTTTGCTTTTCTTTTCCTTTCCTTTGTGGTCAAGTTCATAAAAACCTCTCTAAGACCAAGGGACATAAAACAGAAATAGACACAGACAACAGTATGGTGGTTACCAGAGGAGGAAGGGGGTCAGGAGAGGATGAAGAGGGTAAAGGCAGGCAAATATATGGTGACAAAGGAGACAAGACTTTGGGTGGTGAGCATACAATGCAATATACAGATGATGTATTGTGGAATTGTATACCTGAAACTTATACAGTGGTATTAAACAATGCATTTAATTTAAAAAAGAATCTAAAAGGGAGAACTTCTGATGTACAAGAGACATAATCAGCAGGGGTAAGAAAACTATTAAATGTATAACAGACAATACAAGGCAGTGTTAATGTGGAATATAAAGAAAAAAGAAAACCCTTGGTTAAAACCATTTAAGCTTAGAGTTGCTAACTATGACTGCATATACATTTTCTTTGTTAATGTTTAGAAACTATTATGATTTGTAAGTTTGAAAGTCCATATTTCATTTCACTCAGACCTCTGATGCTCAGAATGGGTGACGAGAGATTTGCCTTACGTTTCCATAGGCTGGTAGAAGGGAAATGTTCAGATCATATTTATTAGAAAAAGTATATTTAAATAGCAATTGCAGTGAGTAAAACTCAAAACAAAAATGAAAACTTCTATAAGAGAGTTGGGGTGATAAAAGCCTTATGAAGCATGGCATACACGAGGCTGAGAAAATGGATATAAATACCCATGAACTGAAATGTGGCTGGAGCTAAAACTATCTGTGAGTGTTACCAGCGGAGCACCTTAGAGGAGTTTTTCCTGTGCATCGCGTAGCCACAGTAACTTTGTATATCCTATGTTAAATTTAGCAGCAAGCAGTAACTATTCTTTCTCAAGGAGAAAATTGTATTTTCTACAATATAATAGCTTTCAGGCTTTTTTCACTTTGACTTATCACTTGGCTGGAGGGAAGGAAATTCAGAATACTCATTAATGTGCTTTAGGCATATAGGAAAAATGATTCCATTTCCATGAGAAGTAACTTTTAAATTATTTAAGTAGTTTGAGTTTCCTATGTAAGGAGAATAAAACCATTTTTAAAAATCCATTTACCTTCTTTTGTAAAATGCCAGATCAATTTCACCTGTCAATGAGGGTACTTTCATTTTTAATACCAGGCTTATGAAACCTGGTATTGCTTTATCTTTATTCATTGCTAGATCTTTAGTTCTTAAATATAAAATAGAGAAATGTCAATTTTCATTTTGCTTTCATTTAGTCATAATAATAATTGGAGCTATTTATTGAAAATGTTAGTGTTTCTATTTTCTTCCTAGCTTACGTGAGCTCTTATTTGCTCTTGAATATCATTAAAGGGAATCTTTCCTACAATTCTAGTTCAATCCCTTACCCATAAAAACTCAATCCATGAAAATATCTCTCTCAAATATTTGTGTAAAAATGTTTTCAGTTTTATTTTTCTCTAGCTTTAAATTATGAGTTGAGATATTACCTATGAAATGAAGAAAGTGGTGAAGTCCTGCCCAGATGCCCCAGTAGAGCTGAAATATAATGCATGCATACCTGAACTGGATTTAAAGAATAACAATAAACTATGGATGGGAAACTGTATCTCTCGCATCTTCTAATACATAACAGGATTTATGAATTTATACCAGGCACTCATATAGCATTAGATTTAATTTGGATGAATAAGAAGGGGTTGAGAAGAAATTTTTAAATGACTCTACAATTTTCAGCTTTAATGTTAGCTTTTGTCTTTAAATAGTTATGGAATTGTACTATAACTTAACAGTCATGAACATTCACAGACTACATGATATTCTAGATCCTGAAAGTAAAGACTTAATTTTTAAAGATGACTCCTTCCATTTTCCTTTCCGCTAATGCAGTGGTTCTCAACCTTCTGGCCCTTTAAATACAGTTCCTCATGTTGTGACCCAACCATAAAATTATTTTCGTTGCTACTTCATAACTGTAATGTTGCTACTGTTATGAATTGTAATGTAAATATCTGATATGCAGGATGGTCTTAGGCGACCCCTGTGAAAGGGTCGTTCGACTGCCAAAGGGCTCACGACCACAGGTTGAGAACCGCTGCTCTAATGGGATCCACATGCTGTTGTTGAAAATAGACATTAGTCATATGAGTGAAGGAGGCACATAGATGGCATCCAGTAGACGTGTGCTAAATGAAGCCTAGTTATAAGAAGGATTGTTTATTGTCTATCTTAATTTTTTGTACTTTTTCCTACCTTGGTCTTTCCTGTTGTTTAATGCTCAAATCTTACTTGAATGTCTGTTGTGACTGTCCTCCATCTTTGGTACATACCCAACTTTCCCTTTCATTCAGATTAATACATACACAATAGACTGGACTTTCACCATTAGGTTAGAGAGGATTAAATAAAAGCATAGTGAACCTTAAGAGTCTTATGGGTAGAAACTTACCCACAATTTCCTCCTGGAAGTTTTTTAAAAAAAATGATATTTCTTATATGAAATATCATATAAGATATGATATTTCCTTAGGTTCTGCAATACAGCATTGTATGAAAAGAGTCAACAAATTTAATAAGCATTGCTGTGACTTGAAGGGTTAGGTGCTGGTTCAAACAAAGGCAATTACTGTAGGAAGGAGATATGGAGAAACTATTAGAATAAGACAGAAGCTACTAACACAGAATCCATGAACCCTATATGGTCACTGGTTGGACTCAAGAGATCTTTGAATCTCTTGAAATTACATGGAAATGTTGTGTGTTTGTGCACATGGACATTTTCCTGCATTTTTATGCCACATCTTTCATAGATGTCAAAGTGGTTCTAAATTAAGACAGTTAAAGAAATAAAGCATCTGAGCTATAAAAGAAAGAGAGATCACAAAAGAGAAAGGGGAATATGTTGGGGAACTATCGAAAGTTTTCCACAATTGTCAGATACAACCAATTGGCATTAATTGTTATGGCTTGTCTAGCCATTTAAGGGGGAAATATATACATTTATTGCACATTTAGAGTTATTAAAAATAATCACACAATAATATAAACAAAAATTAAGTTTAATAAAACTATATAATTCTATCTTAAGCCATCTTAACTAGACTTTGCGAAAGCTGGGTAATGGAGTTCCCAAAATTACTTGCTGAATTGTAATGTGAATTTGTAAATAGGCTCATCAAGGCTTGAAAGCCTAATGAAGCTTCTCTAATTTGAGCCACCTTATTAAAACAAGAACAATATCAATAAATAATATAGATCTGGTGAATTGGCTTTATTTGCTAAATGAACATTGTTATTAGATGGTAAATAGGCCATAAAATGGATAGAAAATCTTACAACTTATAAATATATATTATTAAAATAAAAGCCAAAATCTCTTCCCATTAAGAAGTTTTCCCTTTCATTAAAACTCATCGTTGCTTTTGCTATATCTATAAACAAAGGCTGGAAATGTTCCCCTTTCCTTAGAGTACCCTTTATTAGCAGCAAGAGATAAGCAATCAACAAGTGAATATAAAAATATCAGCCATAAATTCAAGTAGTGATAAGTAATATGATAGAAAGTAAACCATAATAAAAAGGAAGAAAATGGATGGAACAATGATCCTTAATACATATTGTCTGATTTTGACTGTGTAGATATGATAGAAATATAAATCGAACTTACTAATTTAGGAGTACTCTAAGATGTAAATTTTAAGCATAAAGAATGTTAATTAATAAAAAATCTATCAACCAAAGAACAGAAGCCTTAAAAAGATCTAAAATATAACAAAATTATACCTTATGACTCAAAAATTTCTACTTAAAGCCAAAAAATATGTAAGTCATGAACAGTCATCATTTGGGTCTCACAGCCCAGCACTGTCTTTATGACCAAACCATGTATTTTAATGAGACCGAGGACAACAATTGTGCCCACCTTCATGAAATGGTCTTGGTCATTGTTGGTTGATGAATAGGAGTCACACATCTGCAACCTGCCATTTGTTCCTCATCTTCCACATTTCGACCTGCATATTTTTCCTTCTTCTGTTTCATGACCAGTCTTCCTGTTGCCCTGGATTTTCATTTTTTATATACATCTACTTAAACGAATTC